TTATAGTTAATTCCAAAATCTTATAGTAAAAGTCAATATTCCAAATTTAACTGGACCCTTACTCCATTTGTAACTTTCTTAGGTCAAAAATCTTATTTAACTTTTTTCTGTTTATTTCAAATTCGTTAGGTTCTTAAGCTTATCATTAATTTTTCTTTTGTTCAGAGTTGAAGCTAAACTCACCCAGTGACTTTTCAAACTTGTCGTTCTGAAGGCCTCTGATAACTTTAAGATGGTTAACAGATAATTTCTGAAAGTGATTAGAAAGTGAGGCTTGTGAAAAGTGTCCTTTTAAAAGGCTCTGCTGCGATTGCAAGCAAGATGGCCAATTTCTTCTTTTCCCAGCGCTCAAACCCAGGAAAGACTGCTGTCCTGCAGTCTCCTAGCAAGAAACAGCTGTCCGGAGCACATGTGGGCAATCTCCTGTCCTCTCCTTATCTGGAGAGATTCCAAAGCACCAGTCTACTCACTGGTTCTTTGGTCTTTGCCGCGGTTGTTGGAACCGCTTTTGCAGAGAAGTCTTCAGTTTGCCATGCCTCCCCCAGATTTCTTACTCCTTGTTTTGTCCACATATTTCCTTTATATAAATGGTAGTTTTACAGCTAAGCCCATAACTCTTTGCCAGAATGTGTGAGGAAGAATTCTAAATTTAAATAAAAATAAAGCTCTTCCCTTTCCTCTATTTGCAGTGAACTGGGAACAAGAATATCTCCTAATGTATTCTTTGCTTTTAACTCCAAAACAAGAACATTATCATTATGGGAGTACAGATGCTGTTGAAGTAAGGATATGCCCGGTGTATGCTGTCTGACGAGTCATAAAAGTGTAGCAAGACTGCGCCTTCCCCTTCCAATTCTTTTTTCAAGCAACTCACCTCTTGAAGCCTTTCGATGTGGGTCCGGCATAATTCCAAATCACTGTCTCCTGGAACCACGATAATTCCTAAAGGCACAGCTGAAAGGTAACCAAAAAAAAAAAAAAGCAATTACTTTTGCCTACTAACCACATTTGCTATGATCACTCAGAGTGCCAGGTATTTACCATGCTTTATAAGCCCATAGGAAATGCTAGCTCAACAGCATCTCTGGGGGAAAAAGGCTTTTCTGTGTGGGGAAATTTACAGGGATATACATTGTGGACTAGATACTTTTTTTAAAAGTGTGCCATTTTTCACATTCTGATGCAAGGGCTTTTTTTTTTAAAAAAAGTAAAAACATGGGACATAAATATATTTATCTGATAATATAATGTATCAGAGAGGCCAAAAGAGGTTTTGTTTTAATATTAGCCAGACATTATGAGTAAATGAGTTCAATAATAAATAAACAGCTCCAAATTCCAGATGTTCCTGTAGGGTGTTTGGCCTTCTATTTAAACAAATCCTCAAAGGACACCAATTACTCACAAGCTTCCTTGAGTTTCTCCTTGTCATAGTGAAGTGCCTCATAGTCATGCATGCCAATTCGGCTTACACGGATTCTTAGCCGTTCTGGAACTGGTTGCTGACTGAAAAGAAGGAAGGAAAGAAAGGTGTTTGAAAAATTAGGGAGGATAACACTATTGTGTGCAAGAAGGAAGGAGGAGATACTACTGATTGAGAGGGTCATAGAAGGTGATGGCAGTACTTTCTAACAATAGCAATAATCTCAATGAGTATTATTTCTAACAAACTTCTTTCTTAGTTGTGAACAGTCATACTCAACAGATGCGTGTTGCACACCTAGTCCCCCTGAGTAAAATGTTTAATAGCTACTGAAGATAAAGTCACCTGGACAATGCAGGCAAGCAGGAGAGCTATGTACACTTGTATCCACTAGGATAAGGCTAAATATGAAGGCTAATATTGACAATCTTGTACTGTTGTTTCAAATAGGGAGTAGGGAGATACAAGCTATTGTATATTTGCCCTCCAGAGAATAGGAAATATTGCTTGGAGAGATATAAATGTTTACTTTTCCCAGACCTGCACTTTCATATACCTTGAATGTATTATATGGCATAACTCATTCATCCCAAGTAAGAAGCTGCTAATATTTCCCAAAATATTATGTAATTTATCAGTGTCAGGGTTAGGGAACTGGTGAAACTACTCTCCACTTCCCAACATATTCTGATAGTAGGGCAATGAAATAATTTTACTTCATCAGAAACTTATTTGTAACATCACTTCCTCAATGTTTCTTTTATTTGGTTGCTACAGAATCTAGGATAAGTTTGAATCTTCCAAATAAAACCAACTGAGGAAGAGGGCTATGTTTGTCTCCAAAGATTTTTGGATTTTATGGGTTAAGTAAAGGATAGTTACAGAAACTTTTACACTATTGACAGAGGATTTAATTCTCCTTGATTTCATAATGCCTTCTATAGCCCCCATCTAGTGCTTTCCAACTTGCTGTAAGAACCTGTTTAAAATAAATTAATAAACACTCAAAATTAAACTAAAGTTAAATTAAACTAAAACCATTGGCTGGAATTTCAGGGTGTTATAAAACTGTCTTATAGTCTTAGAACCTTCACAGACATTGAGCCTCAGTGTTTGAGATATGTTAGAAATCCAACAGAAACTGAAGCAAAGCTTGACAATGTAAAAATGAATACTGTGAACTGGTGAGACTCCTTCATTCCTTGTACCTAAGCTCGGGGGATGCTCCCTATAGCCAATAGTACATACTCATTAAATAGAGGCATGGAGTTTCTCCTCTTAGTCTTCTGCACCATGTTTGCTTGGTTGCGCAGTGAAATGCGTATGCAGGAAGCTCCCAGCTTACAGGGTTCCCCATCTACTTGCATGGGGATGGCTTTGGATGTGGTAAGTACCACTTCCCGGCACTGGTGCAACCGCTCTCCATGGCCACCCACTTGCAGTGCTGCCTAGAAAACAAAAAACAGTGTGAAGTGGATGGACTACAGAGACTTAACACTAATAAATAACATATAAACTAAAACTAGGTATCAAAATGGTTTCAGTTCAATCTATTCTGAAGAACCATCCCACATGTGTGTGGACAGTAGTATGCTCAACCTGTGCCCCAAAGAAATACTCTCCCATAAAATGTAATGCAGGAGACGTGAATGTCATAGAAGTACACAGCTGGAAAGGAATGTAAAAGGACATGTAGCCCATCCCCCTTGCTCTTTTGGACACAATAAATCACCTGCTCTTGAGACAATATTTTATTGGGGCTTAGCTCATTCCATCAGAAAGTCTCTCTGAATATATCAGAGAGCTTGGCTTGCCTGCAATTTCCACCTATGTCTCCCAATGGTACGTGTAACTGCAATGTAACAGTGATGCTCAAAAGTCTCAGGGGCATTTCTCAGCCTGACATACCCCAACCCCCCAACACGCACACTCACACACATAGGATCAAATTATCAGGATGTTCTGCATCTTTATCAGGACCCTTGTATGGTGGCTTTAACCTTTTGTTCCCTGCTGAATCTCGATATGAATTCAGTCCTAGCATTCACATTTTGCACTAATGTCAATGGGACCTCTTCATGCAATATAAATTGCTAGCATAGGGGATTAATACAGATTGGGCTTTAATCTCAGTTGATTCCATACATGTGTATCTAATCTAGGCTGGGTTTCCAGTACTGACAATTTGCATTGCAAAATGAAGTACAACTGAAATGAATGGAACCTGTTTTAGTAACTCAATGAAAGTGGTGAAGCTCCAATTCAGATCCGGAATAGAGCAGGGGATAAAAAATTACAACCTTTTATGCCCCATAGAATTAGATCCCAAATCAACAATTGCAGAGGCCAAATGCACCACTGTTTACTTGTGTCAAGTAACTCCTTCTAGGCAGGTTTGCTCAACAAACAAAGGGGATGACACTGCTCTTACTTATTAATTATATTTTGTGACTACTTAATCCATTTCAGCTATTCTGGATGTAACCTGAAGTGTACAGTATGAGAAATTCCTGTTGTGCCAGTAAGCCATTGCCCTTGATGCTCCCAAAGAGTACTAAGGAAATTAATTAATGTATGCACTTCAACAATATAGTTACTTAGGCAGACTAGAGTAAAAAGTCAGAGTAGCTGAGCTGACTTACCAGCGATGTCATGGTGAAGCCAATGACTTCAAGGCAGCCATCGTCATGGCGTTGGGGTTCAAAGTCATGATGCTCTCCAGGGTTGCCCCAAGGCATAGTGCCTGCACAGTACCTATACACAGACAGGAGGATGAAAAATGAACTGCTACAACTGAAAATGCAGGGAGGGATTTAGGGACTGGGAATGCAGCTTAAAAACAATTATTTTTTACAGTGAATATAACAGCCCACCTTGGAATGTTTAGGAAGACGAGGCATTGAGGCTTCAGATCTTGGATTTTGGGAGTCAGATCTGTTCCATCACACTGGTTTTTTAAAAAGAGAATCAGCAGTCAATGTCAAAGGCAAGATGCAGCAACAGACTCTATCCTCTCTATGGGGCAACCAAATTCTCCTCGCCTCAGACTTGGCCTTATTCTCCCAATATTTTCTATAATAACCATCTTCATCTTGAGAGCAAGCCAACCTTATTATCCAAGCCAATAACCTTCTTTCTCCAATATTCTGAAAGAACCCATAAGTATCATAATATACTCACCACCACTTTGATGTGTTTTGCTAAGTCTCTGGAGCTCCCCATGAGAAAATCAGAGAACGCTGTCTACAAATAGAAAAAGGAAAAACTGAAACAGTTCACAGAGTTGACCTACCTACTTCTCAACAGAAACTGAGAGCACAAATTGATTTCAGCCAATTACCCCATTTTTAAATGACAATATAAATAGCAGGGTAGGATATCTGTTTAAGTTGGAATGTTGTACATTCAATTATCCAACATTACAATTATACAACTTCACAGGCATGGTATCTAGTCCCTATTATACATGATTTGGGTAAATTTCTAAGGGCACACCAAGTCCCATTCCACTATCCCCACCCTCTGGCTGCCTCTAGTGCTGAACCACATTGTACAATGTCTCCCACTTTCATAGTCCCTCTCAGGGTATTAAAAAAGGTTTGTCATCTTACTGGAGATAGCAAAACTACATTTAGGAAGGAGAAAGCTGCTGCCACTTTCCCCTGTAAGTTGACTGCACTTGAACATTTCTGGATTTTCTTCTTTCATTTTGCTGACAATCTTCACCCCCTATTTTATATAACTAAACATTTCATACAGAACTTTGACTCAATACTAACTGCAACAGAATTATTCAAACTGCTTTTCCAGACAAAACAGAAAAGCTATACTTTCCCATATACACACCCCAACTTCTTCCCCTCTCTTACTCCCAAATTCTGGTAATGCCAATCAAACTGTGCCTAGTTTGGTACACAGATTTTCAATGCAGATAAAGTATTTTTTTACACGTGTATTCCAAAGGAAGCCAATAGCACCTTTCCCCAACTTAGAATGCCTCCACATGTATCAGGACTGTGACTCCTAATATTTCTGGATATGAAATCCCAATGCATCTGGAAGGTGCCAACTTGGCAAAGGTTGCTATCTATACCCTAATAAATAACTTTGGCGGCATATTAAGAAAAAGGTAGAAATTGTAGACTGGGGCATGCATTCTGGTGAACTCACCCCAGCATAGAACATTTTATTCCGAAACCGACTGTTAAATTTCTCTGGATTGGCCTCTGGAGAAAGAAGTTAGTTATCCATTATTATGAGTCACTGGTTCTCAGGAAGATGAGTCTCTCTCCCACTAGCATTAGAAATAACATGTATCTTTACTCCTGGAAAGGCATTAATTATTTTTCCGAGCCAATTGCTTCCAATTCCTAATCACTTTCTTTTCCCTCCCTCCCTGGTCTTATAAATTAAATTACAACCTTTTTGACTTCAGCTTCTCCAAAGTCAAAGTTGTAAATATTTCTCAAGCAATCACCCCAATCCTAGCATAATCTGATGCTTTGAGAGTATGAGACATGTTGACATTTACCTCGAGATTCATGGAATTCCAGTGTCACTCGAGCATCAAAACCAAGGCTGAAATAATTGTTGAACACATCAAGAGGGAGCTGAAATAGACAAACAGAATACCTAACCTAGGATTGGAAGGCAAAGTGATTTTTCTAGTTGGTATATAGATATTTGTATGGAACAAACAAAGCAGTTTAGAACAGTGAACATAAACACGTTTTCCCAATGAAGGACAATGAATGGAGGAAAATAGCAGCCATATGATAATGGCCCTTAGTCACCAAACACCATGAACATCCCATGGCAAAGAAAGGCCTTCTATATTTACACAGCTTTTATATATCTATAAATAAACATTTGCTGCCAGCTTGTTCTACTTTCTATTTTGTATGATAGCTGTTACTTGAGCAGGAATGGATACATGAGATTAGTTTTCTATGACTACACCAATGCCATCTTTGTCTATTAAAGTCTCCTCTGATCTGTTATTTATCGTATGAACATGAAATCCAGAAACTTTTCCATGGGAATATCCCATGGATCTAATACCAAATCACATGTGCCTGAGATTCTCACAAAATTTTCAGAAAGCTGTTTTAGCTGAGACTCTGATAACTAACTCACAGTGATTCTAAACACTGAGAAGAAATTATTAGGGCCAAACTAGGCATCCCACTTATATCCACGTTTCAAAAGGAAAACAGTTTTGTTTTTGTACTCCAATTCATCGTCTTTCCAAATTCCAAGAATGTGTTTGGAATCTGGAACTCCAGAGACTGGGAAGTTCTTTGCAAGGGCAAATTGGAGCAAGGTAATCAAGAATTGGCAACAGTTTAAAGCAGGGTTCCTCAACCTCAGCAACTTTAAGATGGGTGGACTTCAAGTCCCAGAATTCCCCAGCCAGCCATGCTGGGAGTTGAAGTCCACCCATCTTAAAGTTGCTGAGGTTGAACCCTGCTTTAAAGCATTTCCTCCCCTCTCACACACATACAATTTCTCCATTCACAATTGCATTCAGTTGAATGTGTGGAGGAGGAGGAGGAGCTTAAACTGAGGAGAGGACACAGCATTCACAGTGACTCCAGCCCCTTCTCTCTCACATCAAATGTTCAGCCGAAGAACAGAAGGAAAGCTGTACTGTTCTGTACGTGAATGCAAATACAGCTGACTGTGAAATCTGGAAACCTGCTTTATTAAGGCCCTGGATCACATGGAGAGCTTTATTTAAACAAAAGCATTCATGAGTATGCTGTTTTTCTGACTTTTCAATTTAGTCAGGGAGAGTAAGGGACAATGTTGTATGTACAACCCCATTCTCTTGTGGATAAAAGGTGCTTTGAACTGTTAGCCCAACCTTGAAAACCAGAGAGATTTGGTTCCAGAAGCACACTGCATCATGATGAACTTCTTCACTTTTCTGAAGACAGTTTCAATTTATTATTATCCCTCATCCACTCTATTACTGATGATGGCAGTTATTCAGTGGAGATATATTATTACCTGACATTGTTATGGAGAAAAAGATTTGAGTATCATCAGCATTCTGATAGTGGTCAGCTTCAAATAAAATTTCTACATGCTAAGTGTTTATAATTTTGACTGAGTGCAGCGGATCAAAGTAGGAAATTACAGCTAGCCTTCCTAGCTGAACACAGTTGAACACAGAACTGCAAATTTGTCTTCTGTTGCACTTATGATGAATTATGACAGTAAGCTGCTCTATGCTTAAGTATAATCACTGTATATTAGAAGCACAAATTGCAGATTCTAGAGAATATTGTCTATTTTACTGGTTTCAGATTATGCTCAGTGACCATTTTTGCCACCCATTCTTTTCCACTTTCATTTTTAGAATTTACTTCTTCACTGTTGCCCCACAGGATAGAATTCATTAAAGCTGCTATAGAGCAAGGCATATTTTCTGTGATGTCATAGAATATTTTTCATTATATTTAACTAATCTGTAATTATACTGGACCACTATGGAATAAATTATGAAGTATAACTTGTTTGGGGGGGGCGGGGTGAGCAGTTGATCTATCTGGATACAACATTACTACTAACTTAGCAGTGATGATACTGTTGGGCTCACCTTATCTGTTGCTGTTTCATCCTTCTCTTCTGGATTTCCCTCAGGTTTGGGCTCCACTAGTAGATTCCAGCGGTCAAGCTGCACAATTTCCCCCTCTTCTACATGAGACAGGATTTTTGACAAGGGTTCATCAGTATAACCCTGTGGGTTGACATGTTCTCTGTGAGGAACTGAGACAAGGTAGTGGAAACAAATAACTTCCCTTCAATCCACTTAGCTTCGTTCACAATGCTGACTTGGAACATAGCCAAGTACCAAACTTGTAATGAACTGGAAAATTCTTACCCCGCCCCAGTTCAGCGTTCTTGCTAGGTCATTTCCTGTCCCCAAAGGAAGAATGGCCACAGGAGGTGGAGGGTTCAAGCGTAACTGGTCCAAAATGGAGAGGATCCATCCCACCTACTCAGCCAGGAAAACAGCACAGATTCAGACAGAATTTTTGCTGCAATTTCCTATGTCTGCTCAGTTGCTTCAGCTATTTATTGCACTTTCTATATATACATCAAGATGAGCCAACCCCAAAAAGTGGTAAAAAGAAGAGTTACAAAAGATGGGAAGGGAAGGCTTCGTAAGTGACTATGCTATCATCCATATAGGCCCAATTAACCCAACAACTAGCCAAAACCAATTAAAAAGAATCTTTCTTATGAATACTAAGAACTGTTGGTTTACAACTGAGACAGGACTGTAAAGTTGATAAAGGGTCCCAGCACATAGTAATACTACATCAGTTCCTCCAGAGGTTAAAAAAGTAGTAGGCCAGGAGCTAGTATAAACCAACCAGTAATGTAGACAGTGCTCATAGAAATGTCCATCTGTAATATGTTGCTGAATTAGCACTTTAGCTAAAATGTAAACAACTCTGTATCCTTGGACAGGTAGCCCTGAATGCATATGGCTACATTAAGTAATTTGGTGGCCCATTCTTCTCACATAACTTAATGCAATGAAACTATCCAGGTTCTGCTACTGATGCACGTCTACCTCATCACAGCTTATCACACAGGAAAGGGGACATAGTGACTTACTGTACCATCTCCTCCACATGCCAGAATCCGTAAGTTGTGCACTTTACGATACAACTCCAACCTGCACAAAACCCAGAGGTAGCATCATTTATATTTATCTATTGAACTCCACCCCACCCCCCAAAAAATCATGGGGGAATACCCCAGTTTCCATAGGATATTTTCAGAGATGATACCTAGTATGAGGCAGGGACTCAGTAAGAAATAATTAAATATATTTATCTTTAGAATAATTCCTCAGCTTTGTCTGCACTGTTGAAAGAAGCTGCATACCCAAGTAATGAAAAGTGAGTAACTGGGAGTAAGGTTTGTGTTTTGAATTGTACATGTTCTCTCTCTGGGTGTTAGCTTAATGTATTATATTTTTCTTCTTCCAAGGAGCAGAAAGTGGCATGGTTACAAGATAGCATATGGTTACAAGTAGCATATTTCAGTATTGTGCTTAGTATTCAAGTGCAGAACACCATCTAGAGCAGGCAAGGGGAAAACCCAGTGCAAAAGCCAGATGTAGTTCACAAAGCAGCTGCTTTTAGTCTTTAGGGGCCCTGGTGAAATTCTACCTTTTTTTACCAACCCTGGTCCACTCCCCACAAGGGCATGTGCATGCAAGATATGACAGGAAACAATTGTTCCTTGCTTCCTCCTGTACCTAATAGATTTTTTGGTGCTAGCAATGGTATGGAATGATTTACTCTTTATCTGTTCCTTCGCAGATTGCCTTTCTCTTTGGAGCACAAAAGCAGAGAGCAGTAATTCTGTGCTTTCTCCTTTATATAAAAAGGCAGTTCTTCCACTTTACCCAAAGAAAAAGAGAACATTTATCTGATCCTCCTTTCTGTGTAAAGAATGATAGCGGTGGAATAGAGGTTAGTTCCAAGAGAAAGGGCTTCAGGGAACTGATTTTCCTCCCTGAAGCCACCTCACTGGACATCCCCAGGCTCTCCTGAAGATGAGTGAAGAGACCAAATTCATTCCTAGAATGTTGTATTGGATCTGTTTAACCAAACATTCAGCCACAATGTTTGCTTGATCACCTGGGAGAACTGAAACTCTTTTAGCTTGAGTCACGCCACAGGATTGTTTATTCCTTCTCCTTCCCTTTAGAGTAGTATTTTTCCCTTAGACTATTATTTTTTTAATGGGCACTATTCTCTAGCACAGGCGATAGCATGAATGACAGAGGTTGAAAAGTTCTATTTAAACCGTTGAAAATATCTTCTATGAGGATCCCAGTTGTGTTGCATTGAGATCTACACTCAGAAGTTCAACGATGTCAACTCATCAAGCGCTCTTAAGATCATTCACTTTTCTAACTCTAAAGTGCCACTCTGCCCATTTTAGAAGAAAGGCAAGATGGAAATATAATAAATAATTTTGCAATCATTTCAGGTCTGTGTCAGTTGGAAATGACAAATGTGCTTGAGTGAGGTTCAGACTCTTCTTAACTGTTACTCACGCTTCTTTGGGACCTCCTTGGCTGAGATCAAAAACTTGCCGAGGGTTGAGGTACCACATAAAAGATTGGAATATCTTTGTTCCCTAAAAGAATGGAATAAAATAATAAAAGAAATATGCTGAAGAAGGCTAATAGAGGGCCAGTGGTATGTGAGCAATAACGTCAGGTAAGTAATTTTACCTGATTCCCACCACTCTTAGGGTTCACAAACACAAGTAGAGGCTTCATGAGAGGTGCTGGGATGGGCTTGATAACAAAGGGTTTCCATCTTCCTTCCTGAAAAAGATGCCCTGAATTACAGAATGTCAAATGAAGAAATCAGAGGTTTTACCCATGGGATTTACACTGAATGCATGCTGTTACAGTCACTAGATTCCTTGAACTTTTCACAACAAAAAATGGGACCAATGCATGTGACTTAAAGTGCTAGGTTTATTTTGACTAGGAATATGAGCAATAGTTGGGTTTTATTTTTGTAGAACAGGGGGATCTATCTTGCCTTTTTTTGCCAAGAACAAAGATCATGGAAACGATGGCAATCTAAACGTTTCAACTACTATAAAGCCAACCAGGCATCTACATTTCATCTGAAAAGCTGTTTTTAGCTTTTCTTCCCCCTGTCCTCTTTTGGGCTTCAATTCTCATTGTTCTAAGCAGTAAACAATTTCCTTTTGGGCTATCGGATGTAAAAGGGCAAAACATCCATAGAGCTTTTTATCTGAGTAGAGCTAGAAATATTTAAAAACTCAATAGCACTGCTGAATAAGGTCAGTTTTACCTAGTTTTAGTCAATTAGATATTGTAGGGATGCCCACAAGCAAGACATGAGTGCAATGACATCCACTTGTTCCTCAGCAGCCAGTATTCTGAAGCTCCCTGGGGACAACAGGTAGCCTTTGTAACCAATAACTATAAGTTGTCCTTGCTTCTATGAAAATACTTAGTATTTTTTCGAATCAAGACACTATTAACCAGCTTCCCTTGTTGCTTTTTAATACATACTTATAAGGAATGACTAATTTTTATCACTATCTACAAGCAGTTTTACTGCAAATTTGGAGGAAGGTATTTCCTCTTTTAGTATTTAATGTAATAACCAAGGGGTGACAACAGGGCCCACCATGACTCTCAGCAGTCTCATCCCAGCTTGGCCACTGATTGTCCCAGTATCTTTTATCAGTGGAGAGCCACACATTATTCCTCTCTGTGCTAAATGACATTGTCCAATTATCTTCAGTTCTATTGGACTATTTTTCTTCAGTCTTTAGGAAAAGTTACTAGTCTGCAAACACTTTACTATGTTTCTAGGGTCTGGCCAAGAAAAAATAGAAGACAGTTGTTTGCACTGAGTACAGAGGAGGAGGAGAAGCCGGCGGTGGCAGCACTCTATTTCTTTTCAATCAGGCTATTCGCTTGCCTGAAAGGCTTCCAGGCAGCCTCCTATATGCAATCCATGATGGCCCAGGGCTACCAAGGAAGCAGTTTTGTAAATTAAAATGAAGAGAACAGTTCAGTATTAAAATGTATCTTTTCCCCCACTTTGGTCCACTGAATTAACACACAAAGTATTAGCCAATTTCCTAGAATTTTTTTTTCTTATTGCTTCTTTAGGGCTGCCTACTCTTCATTTTGTACTTTATATCCTTCTAGTTCTCAGCTCTCTATCTTAGTCCTAATCTCTGACCTCAGGCCCCTTCTTGCTGGATTTCCGTTTGAAGGATGTCCTTTTCTTCTTCTTACTCGACTTCAGAGTGTTCTAGAGAGAGAAGAGGGAGAGGGACAAAAAGAACAAGTCAGGTAAATCAGGAGTTGATTTAAAGTACCTCCTCCACACTCCAGATGTGTTGGGACTGCAACTCCCTGAATTCTGTCGGGAATGTTGAGTGTTACTCTTAACATATATAGACAGGCCTGGGCCTTGGTAAGGATAAATGGATTTAGGGGAGGAATTTAGATTGGGATGAAAGAAACCTAAAATTGCAACATACTTGGGGATGCCGGACACGCAAAATCCAGGTGGGGGGGATGACAACAGCAGCATGTGCCCCCAATGAACAGGGTTCTTCAATGTGCTGCAGCATGAAGCATGAAACTTTACTGTGATACTGAAAGAAGCAAAAGAACAGAACTGATTAAGGACAATCACGGTCCCTGTAAGCCTGTTTCCAATACTGAGCTAGTGTACTCCTGTAAGCAGAAAGGTCTCGAAGTCAGATGGAAGTGCTAGGCTTCTCACCCTAGGCTTGGAATAAATCTCCTGGGACTTCATGGTTTAGCACAACTCCTGGGCCTGACCTGGATGAAAACTCTCAGACATGGCTCAACTAGATTAAAATAATTAGAGCAGGCAGTAACAAAGCTGTAACACAACAGTTGATTATCCACTGCTATGCAAAGAAGTAAAAAAAGACTCCTTCAGGAGTTTTAACTTGAGGTTTCTTCCTCCTGCCCTACTGAATAACCAGAAACTTGGCTCAGCGCTTGGTGGCTTTGTAGCTGAGAGCCACTGTACATTTGGCCTGGCCTGAGAACTTCTGGTTCCTGTTTTGCCTGCATGAACCCTTACAGGAGGACTGCTGAGATGGTGGAAAAGATGGTACAATTTCAGAATACTAGGGAAGTGGGAAGTCTCTGTATCTCTCTCTGCGCAGGAGTTACATTTCTGAATGCACTCCTGTGTTAAAGGAAACACATATGCTATACAGAATATTAATACAGAAGCGAGTAACTAGCTGTAATCTATTATATATCTATCTACACCCACAAAAAAAGTCCTGTTTTTTTCAAGAATAGTATCTTGCAACTCTTCTACATTCAGATGTTTCTCACTGACAGACAAGCCAACAACACTCCTGGGAAACATATAAGCAAGTGAAAGGTGAGCGACTAATTTCTGCCCCTCAGATTTTACATGTAGTCCTCATTTACTGCCTACCTTGTTTAGCAACCATTCGAAGTTACGATGGTTAAAAAAAAAACAGCTTTGCCACCAATCCTCGCATTTATGACTATCACAGCATCCTGCAGTCATGTGATTGCCATTTGTGTGCTTCACAACCGGCTTCTAACAAGCAGAATTAATGGAAAATGTGGAAGTGAAATTGCAAGTCGTGGCCATGTGATGTCTCACTTAACGAATGCAGTGATTTGCTTAATGACGGAAGCAGAAGTGAGATCGTAAGTCTGGCGCAGTCACATGATATTTCACTTAGTGACCATGGTGCTTAGCAAGAGAATAGCTGGTCCCAATTGTTGTTGGTAAGCAAGAACTACCTGCATTTTAATTCCCCAATTCCCCCATACTGTACAGATCTCTTCTCAGCCCCAGTTTTTCATTTTTCTCCTTGAAGAAGAAGCACTGCATCCAAGAACTTATGATGATAAAAGCATATATATGAAAACAGTTTTGTTCAAGAAAAATCATGATGTAAAAACTGATAATTGCAAAAGCTAATAATTTGCAAAATTATTAGTGATGCAAAAGCTAATAATTCTATAACTAGTATAGAAATGAATGAATGATTGACTGAATGAATGAATGAATGAATGAATGAATGAATGAATGAATGATAAATTTCAGCAAGTAGCATGTTGTTTTCTGGGGTAAATGGAGGCAGAGATGCTTCTGTGTAGAAAAGGAGAATAACTTGGCAAACAGATACATGCTGCACTCACTGCTTGCTTACACCAGGAACAGCTGATGGCTACGATTTCCTTGCTGTGGAAGGCGAATTTCTGCTGGAAACCCTGCACAGAGAAAGGAAAAAAAGGAGAAAGGGGAAAATGATTCACTTTTATTTTATTTTTTTTACACTATAGTGAAAAGCGTAACATCTACTAAATAATAAGAGTTCTGTTTGTTGCAACAGAAATACATTTACAAATTTTGTACACAAATGTCTTTCAATCACATGATTCTGGAACTTCCTGAAGGTTAACTTCTGGAAACCCACTGAATAACCCCTGGAATTTGCAGTGTGATCCAGAGGAGATATAGTTAAACAGTATATGGGAAAAACCTATCAGAAAAAAGTCAGAAAGATAATAGTTTATAAAACTCAATCACATTGTATACAGTATCTTTTTATTCTTATTTAGTAGAATAAAGAATATTATAGATCTGAATAAAGAATAAATAGATCTGAAGCAGAATCTTCTGTGAAGATACAAGTCCAATATAGTTTCTCACCCGCTCCAGACTAACTCAGCTCCTCTAAAAAAAACCTCTCTCTCTCTCTCTCTCTCTCAAATTTGATAAGATCTTGATACGCATATGCATTGTTTTCCGCACCTTTCCACACTGTCGACATTTCCCTTCCTGGCGTCTCCGGTGTACCCAGTGATGCCGCACAACAGTAGGCTACAAAGAAACGGGAGAGTGAGTTCAGGAAAAAAGAAACAAAGGAACAGGAAGGAACACAACAGCTTTCAGTGCTGCTAAATATTAAGCTGCTGGTGTACTGGTAAGAGCTGGCAAATGAAGACAGGCATTAGATGCCATTCACAGTTTGTTCATGTTGGGAGGTAGGGGAAGTGTTGCATAAGTGACCTTAGGAATTAATTCATACACGAAGATTGCCTTTGTTCTTCATCCAGCTTAAAGGCAAGTACTGCCTTTCTTATCAAGTACAGATGCTGCCTGGTGTTTTTCTACCTTTTACTTCCAGACTGTTATTTATACTACACAGGTAGCACAAAATGCCGGTCACATTTCCCCAAATGGAATGTAGTTCTGTTCCTCTTCAAGAAGGAAGATAAAACATGGCTTCTGAAGGCTTTAAACAGCATCCACGAAATATAGAACCATGCAAAGATGCTGTCAATATTGTTAATTAAACATTTATACAGCTTGGGAATTAACATTCTGGAAAAAGTGTTAAAATTAATGCACATAAACAAAAGCTATCTAATGACTGGAAAAGTTCAACTATTTTTGTGGCAAACTTGAGCTTACTTTCAACGTCACTATTCTTATAAGGATTCACATGTTATACTAGTAAAATATGAAGTATGAGATGAATGAAATGTTATATTTATAAAACAGTTCATTAATACTGCTTCAACATATAAATACCTTAAGTAAAACTTCTTTTAGTGGTCCTGCAGCTGGTATCTTACTATTTTCTTGGTTTAAGAAAATTTATCCATGATTATTACATATGCACAATTTTTGAACCAGAGACACTGCTTAGCACAAAAGTTATTACTTCTCACTATCTGAATACATAGATTCTCAATGATAAGAAGAAATGGGTTATAGTATCCTTTTTATTCTATAAACATATTTATATTTTAGGTTCATGGAAGAGTACAGCTTCAAACTTGGCTACAAATTCTCTGCTTCAAGACAAATTTAAGCCAAATATTTTAAATGCACTGGGATGAAGCTGCGTATTTTAAAAAATCCCCCACTTTCAACAATGCTGCAGAATCCTAACTAGTTCATGCAGTTCTTACCTCCCGGATATTCCTTGATCCAGATTCTCTAAAGGAAGGCTTGCATCGGAAATTAATCTGAGGATTTAACAGAAGGAGAACTTAATCCTATGAATAATAGTCTATTTTGATATGAATTTTTTTCTGCCATTCCCCTCTTTCAATAGTTATAATGAAAAACTAAGCAGAAGAATGTATGAAACTATAGTATACGCAACTTGAATTCACGTAGCTCAGTATGGTCTACTTTAAATAGCAGTAATTCTTTGAATGTTTCTCATACAAGGTATCTCCCAGTCCTCCAACCCAGTGTTATTTAACTGGTGATGCCTAGATTTAACTGAATTTAGATTTAACTGAATCAAGGGTCTTCAGTGTGCAAAACTAGGATTGAGGAATAAGAAAAAGAGTTTAAGTCTTATGAATTTATCCTATTAGGCAAACACGTATTCTTCAGATTTTGGTTGTGGCAAGTTTTCATCAAATACAGCAGAGCATTTTCATGACACTCTACTCACTTTCTCTAGTTGTTCTATGCAGGGTGTGTGGACTACAATTTTGCAGGCTGCACATTTGCGCTTGGACATAGGTTTTTGCTGCAACAAAGGAAGCATAATATTTATATCATCAACCAGTGTCTGAGAAGATTGTAAATTATCCAGAAAACCAATTCTATGGAATAAATACCAACATAAGAAACCTGCAGATAAAAGCCACTTTTTTAGTCCACATGTTTCCATCCCTAGACACACGCCAGGCAACGAAGACAGTTACTTTATAAACGGAGCATAATGTCTTCCTCATTTCTTGATCATAATTTATTAAATGGAATCCAGGAAGAGGCAAACAAATCTGAATGAGATTGCAATCCCCCAAACAGAAGGTTCAATAAAGAGATGTCTTGAAATATATTTTTTTATCTATTTCTGCTGTGAGCTGCCCAGAGTTATGTTTTAAGATGGGTAGCCATAAAACTCTTTTAAATAAATAAATAAATTCATAATTCTGTATCTTGGATATAAACATATATGTCAGTTTTAAAGCATCATGGAATAAACAAATAAATTGCAAACTAATAAAAACATTAAATGGACCAAATGAAGTCTTGTCTGTCAGTTCAACATTGGACTTCTGACTACTTTTTCTCAGGTTTTTCTTTATTAGGAAATCTTTCTCGAAACCTTTTCAAGAACATTCACTTTTTTAAAATTACAAATACATGGTACATATTTATTTTGCTTTGTTTAATCTAAATTTTAATGCCAGTAAATATAAATACAATTATTATAATAAACTATTTGAGAAATATTTGTACAATAGTAGGGGAACATGTAAAATTTGCTTCTGCTTTTAAAGAAAAATTCTGGGAGAGAAAAAATTGTCACCAATATTCAGCAGAAAGCATGGTGAGATTTTGGCAGGCAGATGAACACTGCAGAATTATCAACATATAGTTAAACCTAAATTTTACAGACCATTCAGCAAACTTTGGATGCCACAAACAAAATTTTGGTTTGGACTTCACCCTTAATAATGGACAAACTCTTGTTTCTCAAGCATTTGGGACAACTGATGTAATTATGCAAACGAAGTAAAGTAGATCAATTTTCTAAATCCATATTTAATGGACATTTGTCTCCAACAGGCACAACTTCTCCCAAATGGGTTGTAAAATTGAGGTTTTACTGTATACATTTATACTGATTCAGATAAGTAGCCAGGTATGCTAGCTGATCTAATCTCAAATGGGCAGCAGTTCTACCTCTAACCTTATTTATTTATTCAAATTTGTTATAGCCACCTAACTACAATAGACTCTGGGCAGCGTACAAAACCACAAAATCCATAAAACAGATAAAATGTAACAAAACAGCCCAGGCTAAAATGATCTTAAAGCAACACAAATCAAACAAAATAGCCCCCTGCAAAATACAATAATACAGTAACCCCAGGCCTGGGACCAAAGGCAGGTTTTTAAGAGCTTTCTGGAACCCTAGGAGAGAGGGTGCTGTCCTTCCTAGAGGACCGATATATAGTTCTCCCCTATATAAGCCACTGCCTTATACTGGGATGGGCTTTCTTTCTTTCTTTGTCTGTTTGGGGCTACACATCATCATTACAATCATCATCATCTTCATCATCATCATCATAAAAAACAACAACAACAACCCTGAATTTTCAAGGGCTACAGGGATTTGGAATGCACCAAACAAGGCAGATCTGAGATTTCTGGTCCACTTTGAAGGAGAGCTGGGGACAGACTTGAAATAAATTAACCCAATCAGATGCTGTTCTGGATTCTGAGTTGTCTCCTTTCCTTTCACACTGCCCAGACATAATTCGCCATCCTCTGGGTTCTAGCAAGCACACTCACGTTCCATCTCCTTGATGATATTGTGAAAAAGGCCACTAGTGCATTTGTGACTCATGGCCTGGGATCTTACCTTGGCCTGCATATGCCAACTTTTACACTGACTAAGCCTGTAAGATATTCTTGTTTTGGAAGTTATCTTGTTAAAATAAAGGGGGGAAAAGTTGCTAAAAGATATAATTTGGCTGCTAATTTGGGGGGGGTGTGTGCTACTTTGGGGGCAGGGCAACATGCCCCATGGATCCATAGTTAGACAATTAATAGTTTAGCAGAGGTACTCCTAGATTTTGGCAAAATTCTCTCCATGCCCATTTCCCACTGAGGTAGAACTTGTTTTCCTTTGAGTGTTTTGCAGAAAAGGCTGTGAATTTTCCTATGCAACTAAGATTGTCCAACTTAATATAAATTCACAACTCCATTCCTCATATAGAAAATGAAATTAAAACTGTAGATTTTACTGAAACTGTTTTGTATGGGGCTTTTATAAAATAAACAAGTATTAATACTAAAGCCACTGGAAGGATCATTCCCAAGTTTGGAGCAAGATGCCACCAATATGTTGACAATTCTGTTTTATGTCTCCTTTCCTACCTACTATAAAGACTGGGAGAATAAGCTGAAGCAAAGTTCAGAAAAGATAGCTCATTCTATGGATTTACTTCAAGAGTCAGGAGGATGCACTCTTCCTTAAGAAGCAGGCTTGGAAAATGAGAGTCCTCTTGGTTCCAGCATTGACCCTGAACGGCTGCATATCATCAGTGGTGATGATGGCATTCTATCAACTTCCACTGAGAGACCAGATGTGTCTTTCCTTAAGTCCAAGCTACCTACAGAAGCACATACTTCTGTACTGTCCACTGTGCACTTTCTATTCATCAGTTGGACACCTCTGGCAAGTTCTGCCACAGGAGCATTTGACACTAGTAAGGAATTTAGCTTTTTTCAGGATGGGGCTCACACTGCAGAACCAAATGCCACTGGGGCTGAAGGAGGCCCCTGTTTGCTAGCACTTAGGAGGCAGCTTAAAGCTTATTTATCCAGACTGTTTAAGATTATTGTTATAATTTTGGAATTTTTATTTATTCAATCTTTTATCAGCTATTTAAAATAATGTTTTATTGAATTGTTGTAAACCTCTTAAAGCCATAAGAGAGGTGGACAACATATAAAAGCTTAAATCAATCCAGTAAAATGGGCATATTTTCTTTTTCCATGTATCAGCCTCAACTCACCAAACCTATTTCTATGCCCTGTTTTAATAATTTCCATGTGTATGATTTCTCCACTAGATGGTGATACAGTCTCACATACTGTTGAAGTTTACTAGGCAGTGACAGTTTCTTATACAACTTACCAGCATTTTTGACACACAGTTTTGTTCCCCCACGTAGCAGAAGTCCCCAGAGACATTGGTTTCAAACCAGATGTGTTCCCCATAAACTGCAGACTCCTGAAAGACAGAGGCAATTTAGACTCCATGCAAAATTACATTTAGTTTAGAACCTGACCAGTTTTTCATCATCATCATCACCAGTTCAAGGACTTACTTATCTCTTAAGTTCAGCCCCATAATGAACTGGGAAGTGGCACATTATCTTAGCCATACTAGAGACACATCCTTCTGGTGACACATTATAGCTACAGAGAAATGGGAACATGCATGGACCACATGATAGGACATCATTATATTTCATGCTTCCACTTCTCTATGTTACTCTTGATCTCAAGCAACTTGATTGTGAAGCACCCTGAGGTCAAATATACTCCCTGCCTCTACTCCTGAAGGCCAACTATGTGCAAACTTGCACCATGCATGATACTTGCAGCTAAGCCAATGGTGGAGAAACCATCTGTTCTTACAGGAACTGGAACTTACACTCCAGTCGACAGAGTTACGAATCTCCCTCTCTGAGTCACTTCTTAAGGCAAATATAGGGGGTGGCTGGGCTACCATGTGTTGGAGACCCGACTTGGCAATGGCTTTTCTGAAAAACAAGAAGAAGAATGGCTGTAAGGGCGTTTTGTTCACACAAAATAGACAACATGTGTTATGTTCAAAACCCTTGATACTAAATAAAGGCAACCTTTTTTAAAAAGAAGAAAAAGTGCTCCATGGTCATGTTCATCCAACCTGTTTAACTTAGTCACAGCACTTTGCCACTGGTTCAAAAGCCAATCTGTAGGTGAATACAGAGCCTCCACTCACTTCCTCTAATAAATGCCTAGTATTCCATGCACTCTGGTGTCAGGAGAGGAGCAGCGTGCCTTTACTAGCCCCATTCTCACTGGCAGGCAGCTACTGGCTTCATTGGGTACTGCAGCCAACCAGTACTAGACAGGCTTGTTCTGTGGTTGCCAGGAGCATCCATGAATGGGGAACCTTGCTTTTTCAGCCTCTTTTTCTCTGATTACTGACTAGGCAGGGTTTAAGAACTACTCCATGTTTGTCTGAGTTACAGCCTTTGCGTAAGAAGTCTGTGAGGGTGGTTAAACCCAAAAGTAATTGAGGTTGTTTGGGGTTAAAGCTAATTCTCTCTTTCCGAACTGCTGACTGAGCTATAAGATTTGCACAACACACTTACTTTGCCACTAACCAGCCATAAGTGTGTTCTGTAAGCCCAACCCCTGAGAAAAATTACTCCAGGGATAGAGCATCATTTTTCCCAAAAGGATAGAGGAAAAAAAAAACCTAACACATGCAATTACACTGGCTAGTAAGATCTCTGAGAAGATGAACCAGAGTCCAATTTCCTGTTGTTTCTCAAGCACAAATAACTGAAGCTGATGGGGCGGGGGGGGGGGGGGTTAAAATTAGTTTAAAAGAAAAAAAAAACCTAACACATGCAATTACACTGGCTAGTAAGATCTCTGAGAAGATGAACCAGAGTCCAATTTCCTGTTGTTTCTCAAG